CGCTGCTGCTCCCCAGGAGGGGGGGCGGCACTGGGGGCAGCCATTCCCTGGGAATGGGAGCTGCACCGAAGGGGAAGGAGCCTGCACTAGGGTGGGGACACTAGGGCAGCTGCGTTGGAAGGAGAGTGGAGCCCACCGTGGGGAGGAGGACCCTGGAAGCAGCTGCATCCTGGGGGTGGGGGCCCAGTAATGCTGTAGTCGAGGTGGGGGCAGCTGCACCTTGGGGTTGGGACTGCACTGGCGTGGTGGTATTGGGGGCTGCTGTACCTGGGTGGGTAGGGGTATCTGCATCGAGGTAGGCCTTAGCACTGGGGTGGATGTGTTTGCATCCTGGGGATGGCAGGCAGTCCACCTGCTGAGATGCCAAAGTTGGCTGCATCTAAGGACTTCTAAGGGGCTTTTCTTGTAGCTGTGCTCTGGGATCCTGCACTGGACTCGTTGCACCCCTAGGATTTTTTTTTACAATTCTGCGTACAGTGATTTTATATTTAGATTAAGGTAGATGCATTTGAGCAGGGACTATCAAACGGGCAAGGACCAGTGAAGAAATTGATGTGATTGTACCATGTTGCCCTTTTAAAGAAGTAGTGAATGCTTCAGATTTTCCCAGTTATAAAAGTTGGGGCATGGAGATACTTTAAAAACTGTCTCCCTGACGCTAGATTAGCAAAACTCATGTAACTTAGTATTCAGGTGAAGGCCTTAGGTGACATTTAATGATGCAGGCAAGAGAAGGATTGTTTCCAAAATACTGATTGTATTGGCTTATAGGTATAATAGGCTAGTTCAGTTGAAATGGGTGTGTGTTGACACAACTGGATGTGAAGCTTTTTGCTTGATTGAAAATAAGGTTGTCCTATGTTCTGTCCTAAACTTGTCGTATCTGTGGCCTCCTGTTGAGCCAACTCTGAATAGGTTTATGTTTGTAGGTTTTTGCTATAAAATTTTAAAAAACTGCTTCAAACTTAATATATATTTAAAAACCCTGTTAAGAAACTATATACTGTGTAAATTTGTTGAAGTTATTTGGGCTGACATAGGTTGCATTTTTAAGTGTCTTCACTCTGGATGGAGGAAATGTGTTAGCTCTGATATATGGTTATACAGCCACATTCTGGACACTTCTCCAGAATACATCCTGTATCTAGCACACTGTAATCCAAAGTGTAGATAGAATAACTCCTAAACTACATCATTGTCTGGTTTTGATTGGTTCTTAGTGACACTTACTTTTTAAATGGCTCCAAGTTTTAAATGGTTGGCACTGGAGAAGAGGTTTTTTTTTTAAACCAAAAGGAAAATTAAAATATGAATGCAACTTCATCTTCTTAAGATACCTATAGTATTAAAGATTTGAATTGTTGTTGTAAACAGGTTTTGTAAGCTGGATTCCTAAAATAAGCAGTCTGGGTGATGTGATTCGGCAGATTGCAGGTGTGTGTTTTCTATTTAGTATATTTTGTGATTACAGTAAGAGGAGTGGAGGCAAAAATTCTGTTAGCAATGTTTGCTCAAGATACACGTTGTTGAAAATGGACATCATTAGATCATTTAGTCCAGTGCCTTGTAGTTGCCTTACTAAAGTCTAGGTATATGACATCCACCGCTTCTCCCTTATCCACAAGGCTCGTTATCTTATCAAAGAAAGCTATCAGATTAGTTTGGCATGACTTGTTCTTCACTGCGTGCTGCGTGGTCTCCTCCCTCCCCTTTGGGACTGCCTGCAGGGTCTCTGGTCCGGCCATGCCACCTCCTCATTCATCTGCAAGTGGCCACTTGTTACAATCACTGCCACCACTGCTGCTGGGGTGGAGGGGGCACCAGGCAGGTCTGAGGCAAAACCCAGTGGAGCCACTCCTGAACCTCAATGCCTCAGAGCTGCTGCTTCATCTTTGGGAGGGGCTGTGCAGATCCCAGCTGTGGTGCTGCAAGGTGAGGTGCACTTGGGCTTGGCAGGTGTGCACAGTGTGCTGCTATTCTCTCTCCCCCTGCCCCTTCCCACCCTGCTTGGGGAGCAGCAGCACATAGAGCTGCTTGCAGTACTGCTCTCCGCTGCGAACCGGTCTGGTGGGCTGTGCGGGCTCCCTACTGTGTGGTGGGAGTGAAGCTCTTTCCTCCCCACCCTGCTGGGGGAATGGTAATGCAGTGACACCCCTAATTGCAAGGGGACACGAAGCCAGGTAAGCATCCTCCCTCATGCCCAGACCCCCACACTCCAATCCCCCTCACTCACTTCCCTCCTCCCCCCACGACCCTGCACCCCA